TTTTTTTCCAATATTTGGCTCTGTGTGACGTCAACAAGAGCAAACATTTTTAATCTGGTCATATTTGACACACAGCTCCATCCACCCACCCGTTCATCAAACTTTCTGTTCAGGAGTGGCAATCCATCAAAAGGAAGTTGGTCTAAAACTGCTCATTGTAGACGATTAAAAAAAGCACTAGTGCCCAGTATAAGATAATTAAGAATGAACTATGAATCGTGTGAAGCTATTCTAATGGAGTCAAATAATTAAAGTAGGGAACTGCAAATGAGCACATGAGGTGCTATCTAAAATTTCTGATACATTAATATTATGTCTTGTTTTACAGCTGTAGCGTTACTTTTCAATTTAGGACCCTCGATTTCAGTTAATGTGTGGTCTGACATATTGCTGGATTTTTCCTTTTAAAGTTCAGCAAACAAGTGCCTTCTGAAAGTAGCAACCTACGCAGCTCAGCTGGAGCAGTACCAAAAAGCTATTGAGATCTACGAACAGGTGAGTTAATGCCACCCAGCAGCTTTTATTTCAACGTTTTATCCCTCCGCGAGCTTTAGTTGGAAAGTAAAGCTAAATTGTGCTTTTTGATTTATTCATTTATTTTTAGGTTGGAACCCATGCAATGGACAGTACGCTCCTGAAATACAGTGCCAAGGATCACTTTTTCAAAGCTGCGCTTTGTCACTTTTGCGTAGACCATCTTAATGCAAAAGTAAGCCATTACATACAACTCTTATCTGCTGATAATATGCAGACACAGTAATACAAGCCTTTGATTTTAATAATCTCCCTGCCTTTTCCCAGCTTGCTGTGCAGAAGTATGAAGAAATGTTTCCCGCCTTTTCAGACTCGAGAGAGTGCAAGCTGTTGAAGGTAGGCTTTGATGTAATTTTGGGACTAAATCGCTCATCAAGACACATCCAGTAATCACGAAGACTTGGAGTGCCGTTTAACATAAGAGACTGTTTTCCATCTATTTCCACTATTGTGCTTGTTTTTGTTTTCCCGTTCTCTTTCTCTTTATTAAACTCGTGTTAATCACATGTGATTGACCTGGGTTTAATATACATACTAATGTTGAAAACATAAATGGACTATAACCTTAAAATTGAATTGAAACCTATTTTGTTTGGTTAAATTCAGTTAAATCTTGTTTTTAGTCATCTGGGTTGAATAAGTAAAGTAAGCCGTGTCTGTGCTTGAAAAGTGTTTTCAAGTAGGTTGATTCTTTTTTTTGTCTGTTTGTTTGTTTTTTGTTTGTTTTCCTTTTTCCTAAATTAGAAACTTCTAGATGCCTGGGAAGAGCAGAATGTGGATGCCTATACTGATGCAGTGAGTAAACAGTTGCTTTTTTAACAGAATAGAGGACGTAGCAAAAATGTAGAATTTACTTCTGTCTTTTATTTCTTTTTCTTTTTTCTTTTTTTTT